GATTATCCCCGTTGCGGCAAAAGGGCGGAGCCTGTGGGGCGCCCCGTTCACGACGCCATCCTGCTGCGTGGCGTCTGCATTGCGTCTGCATTGCGTCCTGTCGGCAGAGAGCCTCGCTGCGTGGTTGCGTGCGCAGGCCTCCTTGCCGGTTCCTCTGGCAGGCGGGAAACCCGCAGCCCCAACGCACTAGGAACAAACACCTCCCCTCTCCGCGCTCGGTGCCGGGCGGTCCTTTTATTGGCTGCATCGGCTGCTTCTCGCAGGTCGGCGCGCCGCACTTCCCTCCGGCCCGGGGAAGCTGCACCGCTCCGCGCGCCACGGCTGCGTGCCCCGCCCCAATAAAAAAAAAAGTGCCTCTCAGCCCCCGAAGAGGGGGCCGACCGCAACGCACCCACCAGCCGCGACAAGCCGACCAAAGAGACCCATGCGAAATATGCCGAAAGGAAGAGGCAAATAGAAAAAAAATAATAATAATAAAAATAAAAAATGACTCTCTGGCTGGGGCCACATCGTTCCTATTCCTTGAAAAGAGAGAGAAGGCCCCACCGTGGGGGAATTACGGTTTGGCCCGCTGCGCCCCAACGTCCCCCACTGAAAAAAAAGGGCTGCTCCCACGCCCACGCAGCCACACAACTCATGGGCTCAAAATACGCACGGCCGTGATGTCCGGGCCCCCGTTGGGGATTACACCGAGTGGCGGTCTGCGGGGCCCGCCGCCGACAGACGCCCTTCCGCGTGGAGAGCGCCCGTCGCAGCAGCAGCAGCAGCGGGGGGTTGGGGCGAGAAAAAAAAGATAAAAACAAAGAAAAATAAAGAAACCAAAAACTACAGCACTTGCGCCGCTCTTCAGCGCGGCATCGTGGGGAACAAAAAAAAACTAAAAGCCATCGGCAAAGAAACAGGGGAGCCGCAGAAAACTATCCCTCATCTGCTTGGCGCCGCCTGGGGGCACGTGCCTCCCGCGGGCTTCTGTCTGCGAAGTCCCCCGCCCACAACGCCGCCACTCTCCCCACTGCGCCAACCGCAGTCATGTCAGTTGTGCGCCGTTCAATGGTGACGGGGAAGCACACAGACACATGAAAAAAAAAATATACTCGTCTTTCCCCTCACTCCCGGCCATGCCACCCCCTTGCGATCCCTAAGAAAGGCAGAAACGCGCTGAACGGATGGCTTGAAGCACGAGAAGCCCTCGCCCCCGCAACTCGGCGCACAGTCACGGCGGACTATTAACCGCACGCCCCACAACCCCGCCGCCTACACGAAGCGGCATTTATCGGCGGCAACCAGCAAGCTTGTCGGCAATCTCCGCGTCAAGTTGCACCTGGTACTGCTCCACCTTTCTCTCCCAGAAGTTCTCGGGAGCTTGAGGATCCAGCGAACGTTGTCCCGTGAAAGTGCATTGCTGCCTTGTCGTCATCAGCGTGCTCGCAGCGTGCCGGATGTAAATGATCTCCCACGCCATCGCTTCCTTCAGCACCTCCCAGTTATTGAAGTTGCTCCTCATGTATTCCATAAATGAAGCCATCTCACTGGCGGTGGTGTGGTGGGCATCTTGCTTTCTCACCTGCAGCCCGACCAACGTCATCGTCTTCCCCGCACTGCTCTGTTCACCGGTGGGAGTGTCGCGGGCCCGCCTGCGGCCCGCTGGAGGCGCCCTTGGCTGCACCCCGGCCACGTAGAACGCATCCAGCACGGGGAAACGGCGTGTGTCGGGGAGAAACAGAACCCCGGGTTCAAGTTCAACCTGCTGTATTTCCGCTTCGCGAGCCCCTCCCGTCGTGTACTCGAACAAACGGGGCCTGCTTGGAAAGCGGCCCGCTGCGTGTCCATCCGCCAACACGCTGGGCCGCGGCTCTCCCTCCGCAGTGCGGGGAAGGTACGTCATCTTGCGGGCAACCGCCTCGACGACGCCGCCGACCAGAAACACCAAACAGCCCCAGCGTTCGAGATCGGCAGCGGCATTTATGCTGCACGTTCCCAGGGCGGACAGCAAGCGAGACATCTGAAGGTTCTCCGTTATCACCATTCGCCGCAATTCTCTTTCGACCTCAAGTGAAACGGGCAAAAATTCGAATCTTTCCCGCACGTACGTGCCCTCCCACAGCACACGCACCTGCTTGGTCAGTTTGTCCGTAGTCCCGTCTTCGTGCCAGTTGGCCCTGCCAAACAAAAGCCCTGCGTAGTAATTCATGTCCACGTCGGAATTACTGGACAGCGCAGCCACGACTACAGCCCAGCGCTCTCTGGAAGCCTTCGCGTCGAAAACATAGCGAGGGAGCGGCCCAACCTCATCAATGCGTTGCTGCACCGCCCTCCAACTCTCCTCCAGCGCCGTTTTTCGTCTTTCCTCGCCTCCGTGCAGGTCGCGCAGCGACTTGCGCTCCCGCCACGCAAAAAGCGCCTTCAGCTCTCGTGCAGTGTAGCTGTTGACAAAAATGGTACCTGCACCGTGCTTGTCACACAACCAATCATAGTATTTGATATCAGGCAAACTCAACACAACTCCACCCCAGCGCCCAGGAGACATGTGCCCCCCAAGTTGGTGGTTCTTAGCCATATCAAAAATGAAGTAACCCGGAACGTGCCTTCCAGCCAAACTATCCATAGCCCACACACCCTGCTCAGTGCTTGTATATTCCACCACGGTCCCTGCATTGTGCCCCGTTTTGTGAAAAAAGTACACACACCCGTCGACAAAGTAGGCCACCACCGCTACCTTCGCGGCGTCGTAGTGCAGGAGCTGGCGCAGCACGAAGGACCCCACCGCCAGCGACTTGCCAACGCTGGGCGTTCCAACCACAACGTACGCCCGCTTCCCGAACATTTCCTCGTCGCGGGTGGGCCAGCCGTCGATATCTTCTTTGAGGACGTTCCACACACGCAGCACCTCCTTGCGCACAAATACGTCCTTGAAATCCCGTGCAAAATCTCCGTACGGCCACCCGCTCTCGGACGTGAGCACCAGAAGCTCCAGCCGCGCTCCACGGGCCTCCTCAATCTCGTCGCCCTCTTCGGGACGAGGTATGACGTTCACCTCACCCGCACTCCACATTTTCTCCGGCTCGCTGGAGTTGGCCCCCACCACCTTCATCCCCAGCGGCTCCGTAGCGTGGCCCGACTCCACGTAGCCCCACTTCGCCTCGTGCACCGACCGGTACACCCTCTCTTCCCAAGGCAGTTTCTCCAACCTTTCCCGCCTCTGCCTCGCTTCCTCCTCCACCGCCGCGTCAAGCGCTGCGTCGAGCTTTGCCCGTCCAACAGGAGAAACAATATTCTTCTGCGCAAATTCCCTCCAGCGCTGAAGAGTTTCCACCTCGTGCTCCACAAGCCTGCGTGCATCTTCAATTGCTTCCTTTATAGCCGTGTAGGACGGCGACGCCAGTATCAGGCACAGATCATTCTCATTTGCGATAAATGTCTCGGGTTGCGCAACACAACTCTCAAGAGAGACATTCTCGTTGGCCTCCACGACTCCCCTGCCGCCCAATTCCCTGCGGAGGAAATCGTTCAGTTTGATTTCACCGATTGGCCCTTCTCCCCCAAACAGCAGGACGTCCTCCACCGTACTGATGAGGGTCCACCTTGGCCTCTGCTGCGCTCCCTCCTGCCTTATGCGCAGTGCTGCGGGTTGAGCTGAACCGCCGCTTGGCCCCGACCTCGCCCGCGGCTGCCCCCGCGGCACATTAGTGGCGGGACTCTCCGCAGCAGCGTAAGTTTCTTCGCTTCTTCCAGACATTCTTTTCTTTGTTTTTGTTTTGTTTTTTCTCTTCGTTAGTTGTTGTTGGCTTGAGCTTCAGCCGAACACCAACCACCAGCCAAAAGCAGAGTGAGAGGGAGAGAAAAAAGCAAAAAAAAATAGTCACCAACACGACCCCCACGCAGCCACATTCAGCAAGGGAGAGAGAGAGAGAGAGAGAGGGCCACCGCCCACACCCGCACTCACCGCACACCGCCCCCCTGCCGGCGCAGCCAAATGAACCCCCGCAACACATCGTGCGGCCCCGCTACACGCCCACGACGACTTTTGCTCCTCCCCGCAAAAGGGGCGCGTGTGAACTGCGGGGCACACGACAACGGCGAGGGTGCTTCTCCTTCGCTCCCATCGCACTGCACTCGCCATTCGCACCGCCACACACCCGTGTGCGTGTGTGTGCAGCTACCACCCACTCACGGTGGGGAACTGACACCGCCTCGCTGCGGTGGCATGTTGTGCCGCCATCCGCTGAGGCGGGAGGGGGCAGAGGACACCAGGCGGCTGCTTACCCGCAAGGAGGAGGAGAAGAAGGAGGAGGGGCGCCGCCGCAGTGCCCGCCACGACGCAAACACACAGAGCGCCCAGCAAGTGAACTCCGCGAGGGGACGTTTTGCCACGCGACGCGGCCGCACGGGGCGCAGCCGGCGAAGGCGAAGGCGAAAGCGGCAGACAAGAGGGGGCCCTTCGCTCCCTCCCGCGTCGCTGCAGCTGACGGCGCCGCGCCGGAAGGCAATACACCCACACACACGCAGCGCCCTGCGCCCGCAAGGAAGCGGAGGGAGTGAGGCGCAACGCACACCCAGCACGGCACGCAGAGGCAGCGCCGCCCAGGCCGCTGCTCTGCCCTCACCGGCCGGCATCGTGCCGCACCGCAGGCCGCGATGGACGGTGCCCCGCACACTCGCGATGAGATGCACGCGCCGCACAGGCACCCCGCCCACTCCCTCGCGCTGCAGCGGGCGCCCGCGCTGCCGCAGCGGATAACAAAAAAAGGGCCGTCGTCGTGGGCTGCCGGCGCGTC